TGTTGGGCAGGCACAGGGGTGGGTGCTCACAGGGGGATGGAGGTGCTTGGCCCACAGGATGGGACAGGTGCTGTGGCCAGGCAGTGCATACTGCATTTGGGGAGCTGCCAAGGGGGACGTCTCCGCATCCACAGCAAGAGGAACAGTGACAGGAGGTGGGGGCAGGTGGTTTGTAGCGATGTCAGTGGGCTCAGTCAGGTGGGAGATAGCAGGGAAGAGGGCCCAGGATCACTGGGTACCAAGTGCTTTCTAAATAAAGGCTCTTCTCCACGCTCTGTGTTACCCCTTGTCTCTAGCTATGAATAGAGGGATGGGGTAGGCAGGGAAGAAGTGGTTGTGGGGGGACCGGCTCCAGGCTTGTAGGTAACTGACAGTCCAGGAGAGTCCTCCAGCCTGGGGACACTCCGGGTGTTGTACCCGCACTTGGCTCTGCCCATCGTCACCCTGGTGAAGGTGAGAGCCCCTGCAAGGGGGGCAGAGAGCCCAGTGAGTGTGAATTTTACCCACAGGCAGGTGCCAGGGACCATCTCCCAGCAGTTTGGCCCAACACGTGGTGAAGACTTCTGGTAACCTGAGATGCCTCATGCCAGCAGCCAAGCCCTCATACCCATGAAGGGTTACACCCCACAGCCAGCCAGGCTCACTCATGGCTCTGCAGCAGCTGGTCCCATCACCCTGTGTGCAGCCCTGCAGTGTGTTTAGTACCCATTCCCCATCCACCCTCTTGCACTAGCCCTGACTTCAGCCACCCCTGGAAAAGGAAGCAGGAGGCCCGAGCTTACCTCTTTCATCCCAGGCTCCTCTGTTGCTTTCCTTAATTTCATGCAATGGATGGTGAGACAAGGCTGGGGGGATAGCCCTGGTTCCTCCAGCTGTAGCCTCCTGGGCACCCTGGGGTTCTTGTTCCCTGCTCTGGAGTCTCTCATGTGCTGTTTCTAGGTTCTTACTTGGTTTCAGGCTCTTCTCATGCTTTCAGCCCCGGCCTGGTTATAGCATTTTTTTCTTTTTTTCCTGTTGCCTGCCCACCCTGCAGCTTGGCACTTTTATGTAGAGTGCTTAGAAATCATCCAAAGCAGCAAGAGGCCCTGGCTCTTGCTACAAAGCACCCCAAAATATGGACCATCAGCTTCCAGTGCCTGATCACCCCCTCCACCACTGAGGGTATGGGTACTCCCTTCTTACTCCAAACTCAAGCCCTCACTTGTTATACTGGGTAAGTGGCCCCAGTCCCACAGATTAAAACAGGTTTAAGACCAGGATAAATTGGGGCCCAGCTGCTGTGGCTCTATTGGCAGGCAAGGCTATGGCAGTCACTGGAATATTTGGGGTTTCACAGAGCACCACCTGCTTTCCTGGGTCCCACCAGGCTCAGTTTGGGCTCAGCCTGTCAATAAAAGGTGCCAGGACACACCTGATTGATTGCCAGAGTCAGGCTCTGTGGTTTACCACATGCCAGGAGGAAGGACCACAGTAGGCTGGCAACCGCAGCACAACAGTTTGGTTGAGTTCCCATACCAGCCTCACAGGAGTAACCTAACCAGCGAAATTAAAGGGACCAAGCAGAAGCACTTAGGAGGCCAGCTGGTCCATATGAGACCAGTTGTGCTGCGTCTGGAGGGGGCTGGGATGCACAGGCAGCCCTGTCCTACCCAGTGTCCGTGTGTCTCCCAGACAGGTGCCCAGGCTACCTTGAGGGCTGCACTGGATGCTGTGTGAGGTGACCAGGAGCTGTGGGGGAGGAGCATGGGGATGTGGGCCCAAGCGATGTGTGTGTGTTAAGCTACGAGGGCTCTGAGCATGAACACATGAGGGGTGATGGTGAGTAAGCACAAGGCTTCTCCCTGGGGATCTGGATGCCCACCTGGGAGAGGAAAGCCACCTTAGCACTTGGCTCAGGAGGAAAGGACCCCAAGGCAATGGCATGAGGACATGGAGTGTGCCGGAGCCCAGGGCCAGACGCCTGTATGGGCTGAATGCCAGCCAAAGGCAATGCTGATGAGCTGTGTCACTGCCCTGCAAGATGGGTCCGGACACAGCACTGGGGCTGTCACTAGACCAAATATGACTGTGCACAAGGAGCCAAGCCACCCGAAAACCAGTCATGCACAACCAGCAGATCTCCCCAGCCAGTGCCTGTCTTGCACAGCTCCCCAGGGCTGGGCAGTCCCAGGCTGCATGGGTCTGTCACCAGCTCCAGGACAAACTTCCCTGGCCCTGAGCAGGTACGGAGTGACCTTACAGCAAGTGCAAATACAGCCACATGAATGTGAACACTCAAGGTGACCAGCTGCCTCTCTCCAGCCTAGGGAGGGTGACTGTGTTCCACCAGAGCTGAGAGTACTAAAAGTAATGGTCCAAAGAACAAAGTGAGCTTGGCTGCTGTGGTCCGGGCTGGCTTTCTGTCCATAGGAGCCCTGCAGCACCCCCAGGGGCTTGCCCAGCCCAGGTAGCAGTGGGTAGACGCTGGCAGCCCTGTGGTCCTGCTAGGCTGGCCACCACCCTGCTTCAGCCAAGGTCCTTTAACCACTGGGAAGCTGCCAATCAAGGTGAGCCCCTGCCCAGGGGAGGTTCCTCCAACCTGGAGTTGGTCCTCTCCAGTTTGGAGCACGTACTGCCCCAGGCGGGTGGCTGGACACCCCAGCTGTAGCGGCCCCAGTGGGGAGTGTATGTGCAGAATTAGTTCACCCTGAGCCTCTGGGGAACATGGCAGCACTGGGTGCCTGCCACTTCGCTCCCAGAGTATGTGGTCAGCACGTCACTGTACCAGCAGCTCCAGCCCCTTCCACAGGCAGGCCTGGGCTGAGGACAAAGTCCCACATGGGGCACAAGACAGGGACATTATTAACAGTCAAGCGCTGGCAACAGCACAAGGTGATCCCTCTGTGCCCCTCCTTGCCTGCACAGTGGCTCTCCCCACCTGCACCAAGTGCTGCCTGCCCCGCAGGGCCACGTCGAGGGTGGTCAACGTGCCCCCACTCGCCTCGGGGAGGAAGAGGAAGTGTTACCACCAGGCGTGCATCTGCATTCATTTCTGCACCAGGCCAGGCAGCAGCCTGGGGCCAGCTCAGTCCCTCTGCCAGCTGGTATACAGCCAAACCCAGGAGGGGCAGGCAAGGAGCTGGCCCTGCCAGCTCTGTGGCCTCCTCAGCCCCACTAGGCCTGGCTTTTCAAGAAACCAGGCTGGGTAAGCAGCAGCCCCCAGCCCAGGAGGGACAGGACACCTGGGAGTGAAGGGATTCCCCCAGCGTGGGCAGCCTCCAGGAGACCCTTTGAGCTGCAACCCCAAGTCAGTGGGGGATGCAAAACCCGAGGCTGGGGCCAACCAGCGAGGGGTGGTGCCAGGGTGCCCCAGCTGGGCCCCACTGTGCAGCGGGCACTGTGCAGGCAGCAGGGCTGTTAACAGAGGAAACTCTATTTATTAACAGTTAACTCTATTAACAGTTAACTCCATTAACAGAGGAGTCGCTGCAGGGGATGCTGTGTTGAAGGGAGCGGGAGCTGCCCCCCCATCCACAGGTGCTGCCAACCATGTGGCCCTTCCCTGGTGGGGTAGAGCCACTGCGGGCCCATCAGCAGCAGGACTGGGGTGCAGAGCTCTGCCCAATGGTCCCAGGGCAGGTTAGGGCTAGGGCTGCACAGGCACTGTCCCCTCACCCACCTCCCTGCTAGGCCAGCCCCTCTGGGGGGACACAATGGCCACCCCTTCAGTGCTGCTCGGGACTCTACTCATCCAGCCTTCAGCTCCTTGTCTCTGCCCCTCATGCCATTGACCCAGCTGGTACCCCCAAAGACCTGCCAGGAGCCATGTTTAACCCCTTCCTTCCCAAAGAGCACCTCAGCTTCTCCAGATGGAGGTAAGAGACCCTGAGGCACCCAAGACCCCATGCCCACAGGCTGCACCACCCAGCAAATGAGGTGAGCAGCTCAGCACGCAAAGCCCATGGTTATGGTCATGTCAGTCCACAAGAATGGGCTGGGGCAGGACTGGGGAATGGGGCCTACATGGAGCTTGCAAGGCCTCAGGACTGGGGCTGTCAGGCTTCATCGAGGCTTATCTCAATTTGCCTGGAGCTTTCTTTGATTTACTTAGTTTGTAACAGCATCTAATTACCAAGTGGCCATTAACTACTTAGTTTTAGTTTTGCTTTCCTTTTACAGTGGCATGGTGTGATGTCTGTTATTAGTAATTCAAGGGTGGGAATGAGTTACAAGAAGTTACATAGAATAAACCCTGGGGTGAAGGTGCAGGGCAGAGCAGTACAGGCCTGGAAGGGTGGGCATAGGGTGATATCTGAGGCCCCACCAGCAACCCACCCTTGGGCAGTTCCTTTCAGTGACACAAATCTAAGAGCTGGCAAAAATTGGTGTCAAAGCAAAGAACCAGCATCCAGCAACACATCACTTACTATAAAGGCAGATGTAACATGGAGCTGCA